TTGCTTTCTCCGTGTCAAGTGGGGATAGATATTAATCCCATAGGGTTTGCTGTCACCTCAAGTCACTCTCTTCAGAGGAGCCCAACCCATCCCCGGCGTCTCCCTGTCACGCCTTGCTTTGCTATTTGCTACCTGTCTGTTCTGCACTGCTTACCCTGGTACCCAGCCCAGTGCCTGGCGTAGAGCAGGCACGTGCTACATGTCTGGTGAATGAATGAGATAACAAATGGCCCCAAACAGGTATCTGGTGAGGATCAGTGACATCACCATCAACTTCCATGCCTGGGACACATCTCCTTGCTCACTGCAGTCACCCCAGGACTTAACACGTGGCTGGTATGTAAGAGGTGCCCAGAAAACCTGTGTGGAGGGTGTGAGTGGAGCTCAGTAGCTTCCAAGAGGGACTCACAACCCTATGGGACCCTCTCCTCAGGGCTCACCACCCTTGCCCCCCATGTCACCCTTGCCCCTGCCCCGGCCCCAGCTGGCTCAGCCCCCACGTGTCCAGTAGGAGCAGAAGAAAAACAAGGACCGAGGCCAAGGCCACGACCAGTGCTGGTAGCCCAAGTTCCCCACCCAGGTCCCCTGGAACACAGAGGCAGCTGGTCAGTCTGGGGAGGGAAGTCCCTCAGGGCCGGCCTTTCAGGAGGCAGCTGGGCCATCCACATCGGGAACACAGTGAAATGGGCCCCACAGGGCCAGTCTAGAAACCAAGTCCCTGAAAGTCAGGCCAGAGGCTTGCAAGGCATCCTTAAAAAAAAAACAAACACACCAATTTTCCCTCCTTCCTCCAGTTGCCTGGTAACCACTCTGCATCAGGACCAGAGTGAAAGGCAGCTGGGTACAACAGGAGTCCAGGCCTGGCAGACAGGGCACCCAGGGTCTGATATGCTCCCCATGAGATGCACAACTATGTAGAGCTGTTGGGGGGTGGGTTTCTAGCTGCTTCTCTCAGAGGCCACCCGAGCTGGGCCCTGCAGGCACCGTAGGTTCAGGAGGGTGGTAGGCAGCACTGGGGTGGGGGGGTAGGGGTCTGATGCAGGAGGACCCCTACTTCAACTGGTGGTGCTTCCTCAGCATCCTTTCTGATGAGCTCTGCTCAATGGCCTTCCCCCATTAGGGGACTGTCCCCCTTTCCTTCACAAATATATAAGAAATAAAAGTCGGATTTTCCTGGCCAAGAATAAAAAGTTAGAAGGGGGAATGACTTCGCCTCTCTATTTTATTTCATTTTGGACGTGCTGCGCGGCATGTGGGATCTTAGTTCCCTGACCAGGGATTGAACCCGCACCCCCTGCATTGGAAGTGTGGAGTCTTAACCACTGGACCGCCAGGGAAGTCCGACTTGGCCTCTCTGACCCTCGGTCTCCTTCTCTGTAAAAGTGGGTCAACCGTTGAGCACCTGGGAAGTTCCTCCAGCAGAGAAATGAGAGGGAGGCGGTATTCAGTCCGCCCCAGAGGAGCTCACTCCAAAGGCAGTAGTTGGAATTTCCCCTCACCAAGCCCACTGGCTGCCCCACTGTGCAGTCCAGCCATCTGTGTGCACCCACTAGAGGCGCCCTGAGCTGAGCTGTGCCCTTGCCCACCCCTCCCCCACCCCGGGGGCACTGCAGCCTGCCCTGCAGTCCTTGGGGTGTGGTCAGCCCCTGCGTCTGGCTCAGCTGCAGGCTGGAGACCACACACAACGGCCCCATTCTCTGAGCTGCTGACCGGGAGGAAGCTTCTGTCCTCTGTGCCCGGTTCACACGTGCGGAGAACAGTCCCCTTGCTGGAAGCGGTTTACCCTTAATGCCTCCAGCAGCTGTAGGAATGGAGGCTTCCCCTCTCCCAGTTTAGCCCTGACCGTGAAGCAACTGCGGTCCTCCGAACTCTGGGTTTCAACCCAGAGCCTTTAGTCCCTAAGCATCCCGTCCACTGCCGGGACACCTGGGTTCTGAGCCGGGTCCAAGAGCCCACAATCCCTGTCTGCCCCACGCGCGTGCTGGTTCCTCTCACCCCTTCCTCCCCGTTAAGGCTGCCGGTGGGACAAACTGTGAGGTGCAGGGAGGTGGGCTCGCTCACGGGGGACCTCAGCCAAGGTTTCGTAACGCCACGTCTTGGCCGCTGACCGCTGGCGGGGCAGGCAGGGGCAGTGGGCCGCAGCGGGGAGGCTGGCCCCGGCCCGCCACGCCGCGTCCCCACGCCCTCAGCCACGCGGAGCCGCGTCCTGGCCCAGCCTTACCCACCCCGGGAGCAGCCACTGCTACCGGCACAGGACCGCGAGCCGGGCCGCCGAGTCTCCGCGGCTGTGGAGGGGCGGGGAGGGGCCCGTAAGCCCTGCCCTGGCCTAAGCCCCGCCCCGGCGCCCAGTGCCTTTCATCAGGCCCCGCCCCCTGTGCTAAGCCCCACCCACCCGGCCAGACCCAGGGAGTGGGTGGCGTGCCCCACCCCATGCCAGGGCCTCCTGGTGGAGCGCGAGAGATGAGAAAGCGGTACAGAGCGTCATAAATACTCAGGGTGGTCCATAGCTAAGGATGCGGACAATAAAAAAGTTAAAAGCAATCAGCTGCGAGCTCTCTGCAGCACCCCCTTCCCCTTCCCCGACGCTCCCCACCCCACCACCCCGATCCCCACACCCCTGTTCCGGGTGGGCCGCGCTAACCCAGGAGAAAAAGAAACTGCTGCTAGTTGGGTTTTGCTTTGCTTCCTGCCTGCGTGGTTACCTGGGGCTCCCGCTTTTCTTCCAAAACCAGAGCATTGCTTTATTGTTGTGGTCGTTAATAACAGTTCTATTGAGATTATTCTCAATGTCATATTAGGGAAAATTCATGTTCCATACATTGCATGATAAAAGAAATTTTTACATATTGAGATATAGGGAAGACATTCTGGCTTATACATGAGTTAACTTGAATTTGATGCTAACTAAAATAGCCTGTTTGTGGCCTATCAAACATGCACTGCAGTCTAATTATTAAAGAAAAGGGCACATTGACCAGAAGTAAAGAACGTCCATGTTAAAAATAAAGATTAAAACCCCTCTTCCTGGGATGCCAGGGCTGGTCCTCCTTTGATGATAAGACTCCCTTCCAGGTGCCAAGGTCATACTGACTTGCTGTGTACATGCTGGTCTGTTTTTCTGAAACCTTGAAGAAATGTCTCCCTGACTTGTTTAATATTCTTTGTTCTGAGAAGATACAAAACTGCCCTGAAAACCCTGCTTCTCCGGAGCAGTTTCGCAGAGTAATCTGGGAAGTGGGCTTCTGGGCTAGTCCCCAGTTTGGCTCAAATGAAACTCCTTTCTATTCTTTTCTTTTTTAAAAAATTAATTAATTAATTTGGGGTTTTTTTGGCTGCGTTGGGTGTTCGTTGCTGCGCGCGGGCTTTCTCTACTTGTGGCGAGCGGGGGCTACTCTTCATTGTGGTGCACGGGCTTCTCATTGCGGTGGCTTCTCTTGTTGAGGAGCACGGGCTCTAGGGCGCGCGGGCCTCAGTAGTTGTGGCTCGCGGACTCTAGAGAGCAGTAGTTGTGGCGCACGGGCTTAGTTGCTCCGTGGCATGTGGCATGTGGGATTGAACCCATGTCCCCTGCATTGGCAGGTGGACTCTTAACCACTGCGCCACCAAGGAGCACGGGCTCTAGGGCGCGCGGGCCTCAGTAGTTGTGGCTCGCGGACTCTAGAGAGCAGTAGTTGTGGCGCACGGGCTTAGTTGCTCCGTGGCATGTGGCATGTGGGATTGAACCCATGTCCCCTGCATTGGCAGGTGGACTCTTAACCACTGCGCCACCAGGGAAGTGCCCAAACTCCTTTCTAATCTTAATATTGAATATCTTCGCCAACATCACCCATTGAAAGTGTACCATTCCGTGGTGTTTACTATATTCACGGAGTCCCTTGACCATCACCACCATCTAATTTCAGAGCAAAAAGAAACCCATACCTTCCCTTTCGCCCTCACCCCCCCCCATTCTCCCCTCCTCCCAGCCCATGGCAACAACTGATTTTACTTTCTATTTCTATGGGTTTGCCTGTTCTCAAAAACAGGGCTTTTCTGTGACACGATAAGTCATCCCATTGTGTGGAAGGAGAGAAAAATGCGGTGAAATCAGGGCCCCATGGGAACAGGCAGCTTGGGAGTGGGAAGCAGAGGTGGAGGCTTTCCCCCTGCTCTAGGCTGCCTGGGTCCTGCCCCTGGGAAGCCAGTATCCACCTAGAGGTGCAGCAAGAGAGGGGCCGGGACAAGGAGGAGAAAGGACCCTCCAGGGAGAAAGCCGGGGTGCTGGCTGAGGGGCCTGGGATAGGGGGCATGTGAGCCTTCAAGGGGGCTGGTTGAGGTCAAGGCTGTGACTGTCCACCTGCATCCGTCCACCTCTCATCACTGAAGGAGCCAAATCCCTGTCCGTCCCCCACCCCGTCGGAGTACTTAGTTGAAGGTGTCATTGTTTTCTGCCCAGCTCTTTGATTTGGGTGCTTTTGCCCCTCGCACCCAACTTCGAACAGGTGCATCCTGACATTGGAGAGAGGAGCTAGAAAGACGTGGGGAGAACAGAGGAGGGCAGGGTGGGAGGGAGAAGCCGGGAGGTGGAGTGGGAGAGGAGGTGGCAAGGGAGCGGCAGGGCGGGGCTCCATCTATAAAGGGTGAAGCCTGCTGGCCTGGCAGGCAAGAGGTCTTGGGTCCACTCCAGCAGGTACAGGCTCCAGGGACCCCACTGGCTTTGGTGAGTCCTCCCCCCGAGACCAGCAGCAGGTCCCTCCAGCACACTTGTCCCCATCCTATGCCACCTGCCTCCCTTGCAGAGGGCCCTGGCTTGAGACGGGGGTGCTCCTAGTGCCGGCCACTGTCCATGTTGGGGCCCGCCCCGGGGGCCGGGCCTCAGCAAAGCGAGCGTCCGGGGACCCACGGGACGGACTGTGCTCCCCACGAGTGCAAATCCTCAGCGTTTACGGCCTGAAACCCCTGGGCGGCTGGGGTCCACCCGCCCCCCCCCCCCCGCCCCCCGCTTCCTAGTTAACCCTCAAGGCGCCGGAGGAGGAAGACCAGCCTGCACTATGAATCCGTGGCTCCTGGTCTGCCTGGTGGCCTGCTTCGTGCGTGCCTGGGCTCCCACTGTCCACGCTCAAGGTACTATCTCAGACCATACCTACCCTCTCCCCCTGGAGCCCCCCTTCTCCCCATCCTTCTTGTGCCTCCCCTGCCATGTGCCTGTCTCCTCCTCCAGAAGCCTCCCCCATCCCATCACCACTGAATTCATTCTCGGGTGGACAGCTCCCCCCAGCTGGCATGCAAAAACTCCCAGAATTTGTGCAGCTCCTTGGGGGTGCATGTTCCTCAGCCCCTCCTTTCAGAGCCCCTGGGTGCCTCCTCCACAGTCCATGACCCAAGGCCTCCCTCTGGACTCCAGCCAGCCCGGGGACTGCGGGCAGCGGGGCCGCTTACCCCCAGGGACACACTGCAGTGACCTGAACCTGCAGAGCCAGGGGTAGGGGCTGAGATCGGAACCTGGGAGACCAACAAACCTGGGTCTCCATCTCAGCTTCCCCTACTCCGGCTACCTGTGCGGTCCGGCTGAGAGTTGCTACTCAGCGTTTATGAGCCCCAGTTTCCTCATCTGCAAAGTGGGGCTCCAACTTCCTGTTGCACAGATGGGACATGAGGATCCGATGGGCTGATTCCTGCAAAATTCTTGGCCCAGTGCCTGGCAGCAATACTGATAACCATTACTGTTACCAGTGGGGAATTCCTTTCCTCCTCTCCCTAGCTTAGGCATCTGATGATATTGGTGACCAAAGGTTATTCTGGACGCCCCCAATGTCCCCCAGCTTTGCCGCTGTGTTCTGCATCCCGCTGGGCCGGAGGAGGCAGCTGAGCCCCAGCAGCTAGCCAACCACGCCCCCTCCCCTTCTCAGGGCGCTGCACCCCCTCCTTGCCCTCAGCCCCAAGCCCCTGGCCAGGTGGAAGCCCCATGGCCCCACCCACCTGCCCCTCATTAGCTCTGAGAGGCCCTAGCCCTGCCCTCAGCAGACCTTACCCTTTGCCCAGGAGGGGACTGGGCTTCGTTCCCATTGTCCTGCTATTAGAGGCCCATTTCAGGCGCCAGGCCCAGCCTGGGCCTATTGATCCTGGGGCCAGCGGGGCCCTCAGCCCCGGGGAACTGCCTGCCTGGCACTGCGACACAGGGTCCATCTGACTCCACTGCCCCTTGCTCTCAGGGTCAAGGTGGGGGATGGAGGGAGCCTCCAAGCCCTCCCCACGGTCCTCCCAGAACTGAGATGTGGCCCCTGGAGGCACGGGTGGGCAGAGGGATGGATCCCAGAGGACCCTGAAGGCCCAGCACCGTCTCCACATTAATTCATCCTCTGCTCATTCCACCTGCTCATTCTTCCAGAACCTTCTGGCACCACCACCTCCTCCTCATCCAACCACGCCCCCTCCCCTTCTCAGGGCGCTGCACCCCCTCCTTGCCCTCAGCCCCAGAGCAGGAATGGAAATGGACTTGGTCC